CATCATTGGGAAATTTATATTAAAAAATAACAGTCTGCTCCTCATGATTATGAATACTGGTCTTAATCACTGAATGAGGGTTTAATTTTGTGTCAGCATTCGGAAATAACTATAATTTCAGAAAGACTGTCTGGTGTGTGAACACATTCAATTCACATTTGTGTTCACCACTCGATTCTGGTCCCATGTATTCTCAACCAGATTCACAAAAGTATAAATAAAATCTTGAAAATACTTGATATATATCATATATGTATATCTGCCCTCTATATTCATTGTTGAATAAACCACACTTGAAGCATAGAACGGAAGGGTAAAATAGATCGTTCACCACAAATGCCTAGTTGGTTGCAACAACATTTGCAATATTATATTTATTCATACCTGACTGAAGTTTTCAGAGTTAGTAGAAGACAATAGGCTACATAAAAAAGGAAACAGTGACATAAACTTTTTAGAAGTGTAAGATCTTATTTATACGATCGAATAATATAAAGGCAGACATACTTAAGTGGTTGGAATTGAATTTAATTGTGCCTACTTGCAGGTATATTTATTCGTAAGAAGCTGTTCCGTTGTCACATTCATCTATAACTTAAGTATCTATTATTTTTCAAGTGAATTTATATTCATTGCACCGAATCAATTTACTATTTTTGGCTGTGGTGGACTCCATTATACCAATATATATTGGTCGAAGACTTCTGTTATTCCATATTTTCAAAATTTAATGCTAGTTTTTGTGGTATTAAAGAAACTCCTGCTTTGGAGCTTTTGAAGAATAATACTAATCTAGTGAATAGTGATAGACTGTCAATTGTGAAAGCTTCGTTTAGATTGTATGAATGGTTAGTGAGTTAATTATATGCGGTGAAGATTGTGTCAAGCTTGTGTGTAAGGAGAATAAATATACACATATAGTTCATCAATGATTCTACTTAAACTAATTAAAAGTGAATTCATGGTATACATATGTGTTTTCATATCATCACCTACTTCTTCGTTATTCATGTCAAAGTGATTCATCACTACCCCATTCTAAATGCAGATTACTTACAAATTGTCAAAGTTAATCCAAGCAAAGTATACATCCTCGTAATATCGATTTAGCGTTTGACAAGAGGTAAAGCATAATCACCATTTTTGATGTATAGTTCGCAAGGATGGGAAATATACCTCAGTTCAAAAAAAAAAAAAAAAAAAAAAACCTAAATATCAGTTTCATCTATTAGTTGCTCCTTTTGTTTTCAAATATTTTGGATAATGAAAAAATCAGTGCATAATATAATCTTGAAGAATGGAAAAGATATTAAATCACCATATAGATCTGTATATACATAAATAGACATACATGCATGTATAATATATATTTGCAAGAAAATGTATTTTAAATCGAATAAACTTAAGAGTCTATAAAACTAAAAACAGTAATGAATGTTAATCTTTATATACGGAATTTGTGATATGAACACACTCCGTAAGTTAGGTTTCCTCATACTTTGAGGTTGTAATAATGAAAATAAAATATGTAGGCTCATTTATTTTGAGTCATGTAACATATGCATGAAGTAAAACGCAGGGGGAAACCGTTTGCAATATTGACGGATGCAAAACCAAACTCGCACAAACACTTCTTATTTGGAACAAAACATGCATGTATAATTGAGTGTTTTGTCGTGGTACCGTCAGTGTACTATAACCATCTTATATATTAAAACAGAAGTCATGAATTGACTTCATGTGTGATTTTTTTTAAAATAGACTATTACTAGAAAGTCATGTTACATTAACTCTCTAATAATCTCATCATTATTATATCTTATAAAAAATCATATCTATAATAACAAAGATATGCTTAACAATTTGGTTTTGGTAAATTACTCCACACCTTCCAACTTAGTCACGCAAAATATGTCAATAAATTTAAGTTTAGGAATCTTCTATTTTTTATAAGGAAATATGTCAATAATAGTTAAATGCATCCACAATATATGAACAAAAATCACAGATTCGTAATATGGAATATTTATATACCTAACATTTAAAAAGTGAGAGACAACAGATTTGTGATTAAAAAATATATTTAATCAAGCTCTATTTATATTACCTTATCTAAAAATGAATTACTAATCTAACAAACAATAAAATATAGAAGAAGAAATAAACACATGTTTGAAAAACATGTATAATATAGAAAATTTGAAACAATTTATTTGATTAAAACACGTATTATATAATATTATTATGTTTGAAAAACATTTACTATACATATCGTAAATATGTGATTACTATAATATATACCAATTTACAAGTGAAAACAAAATGTTTATATAATTAACTATAAACGAAAATAAACACCCGCGCGGTTGCGCGGGTTAAAATCTAGTCCGATTTAAAGCCGTATGTAATATGTATAATACTTGTTGTTGACAAAATAAAGCAGAAAAAAAACGTGTTAACTTTTATTTATATGGCCAAACCACTCTATATACAAACGAACATACATCTAAGCTAAGAAAAGAATCTACTTTACTTGGTATCTTTTTAAATCAAACAAATTAAAATAAGTAAAAGTTGTTTTCTTGAAAATAATATACAATGTATAAAAGGGTGTCATGATTACTCTCTTTCAAGAAAGTTACACAAATAATTTTTTGTAATTAGATTCGTTTTCTTCTATTGGTTAGTCGAGTCACTTACAAAAGTGATTTCCATTGCTTTACATGTGCCTCTCATGTCCAAATCTTCATATTATATAAACCTTTATCTATCCTGTTTCTTCCACTTCTTGTCTTCTCTCTTTCTACATCTTAAAATCCTTTTACTTTGATCTTAGCTCAGTGCTTCTTAAACTTTAACACTATCACCAAACTTTTTTTTGTCATCCATTTTCTATTCAAAGAATCATCCACAAGAGCTGGCTTAAGAATAAAAGAGAGGTTTTATTAGGGTTTCTTGGCTGCATCAACTGAGAAATGGAAGGGGAAGAAGACAACGTGGTGCCAAAGAAGAAAATGGCCAAACAGCTGACCGGAAAACGTGAAGACACGCTGCTCCATTCAGCCGTGAGACGTGGAAACAAGGACGAAGTTGTTGAGATTCTTACAAAAACCAGAGAGGAAGAGTTGAATGAGCTGTTGGGGAAACAGAACCAATCAGGTGAAACTGCACTTTATGTTGCAGCAGAGTATGGTGATGTTGAGATTGTGAAAGAGATGATCAAACGCTATGATCTTTCTCTTGTTGAGATCAAAGCAAGAAACGGATTCGATGCTTTCCACATTGCTGCTAAGCAAGGAGATCTCGGTACGTGTATTAAAACTCACCACTAAAAAACCAGTTGAAAACGTCTCATTTTTTGGACTTTTACAGATGTGTTGAAGGTTTTAGCAGAGGCTCACTCGGAGCTAGCCATGACGGTGGATCTGTTGAACACAACAGCACTGCACACAGCTGCAACGCAAGGACACACTGAAGTGGTGAACTTCCTATTGGAACTAGGAAGCAGCCTGGCTGGAATCGCCAAGAGCAACGGTAAGACAGCGTTGCACTCTGCATCAAGGAACGGGCACATCAAGGTCGTTAAGGCTCTCTTGGCATCAGAGCCAGCTATTGCAATCAGGATGGACAAGAAGGGCCAAACAGCGCTTCACATGGCAGCTAAAGGAACAAACGTTGAGGTCGTTGAGGAACTTATCAAAGCGGATAGGTCGTCTATCAATATAGCAGACACAAAGGGAAACACAGCGTTGCACATAGCAGCACGGAAAGGCAGATCACAGATCGTTAAGTTGCTGCTAGACAACAACATAACGGACACAAAAGCTGTTAACAGAACAGGCGAAACGGCTCTTGACACAGCTGAGAAGGTTGGGAATCCAGAGGTGGCTCTTATCTTACAGAAACATGGCGTTCCTAGTGCTAAGACCATTAAGCCCTCAGGGGCTAATCCTGCTCGGGAGCTGAAACAAACAGTAAGTGATATCAAACATGAAGTACACAACCAGCTTGAGCATACACGTCAGACCAGAAGACGCGTTCAAGGAATCGCAAAACAGCTCAACAAAATGCACACAGAAGGTCTCAACAATGCAATCAACTCAACCACTGTTGTCGCCGTTCTGATAGCTACGGTGGCATTTGCAGCCATTTTCACTGTCCCGGGGCAGTATGTAGAAGACACAAGTAAGATTCCAGATGGACACTCCCTAGGGGAGGCGAACATTGCATCAACGACTCCGTTCATAATATTCTTCATCTTTGATTCCATCGCACTCTTCATCTCCTTAGCAGTTGTGGTGGTTCAGACATCAGTGGTGGTGATAGAGAGCAATGCCAAGAAACAGATGATGGCTGTGATAAACAAACTCATGTGGCTTGCCTGTGTTCTCATCTCTGTTGCCTTTTTGGCTCTGTCGTTTGTTGTAGTTGGTGAAGAAGAGAAGTGGCTAGCTATCTGGGTGACTGCTATTGGAGCAACGATAATGATCACGACGTTAGGGACGATGTGTTACTGGATTATACAGCACAAGATTGAAGCTGCCAATGCAAGAAACATAAGAAGATCATCCATCAACAACAGTAAATCTGGTTCTTGGGGGATTCCTCAGCTTACTGATACAGACGTTCTCCAAAACGAGTGTAAGAAAATGTATGCAATCTGACTTTGATGATGTACAGTCCAGTTTTGCATTTATTTACACGGCAAGAACTTGATCCGGAAGAAACAGTTGGTATTGAGAGTTACCTGAGTTGCTTTGAATCGGAGAAATCAAATAACGTTAGTGCAACACACATTATGATAGAGAAGAGATGTCTATTGATTTAATATATAGCTTGAAGAAGTTTCAGCTACACATATGTTACTAGGAGAAAACTAAATTTAGAAAAAGATACATGCTGGGAACTGGTTCCTCTTCTATGGATTTTCATTTGCCTAACCACTGGATAATTTGGTAGGAAATTTACATTATAAATACTGAATAACGGATAGTTTACACTCAGTGTTGAGATAGGGACGGTTTCTTTTCCAGCATCTCGTAATAAAGAACAGAATTTTCCTGCATTGAGATGATTTGTGTGTTCTTAAAAATGCCAAAATGTAAAGAAAAAAATACAACCGATGAGCAGAACTTTGGATGTAACTCACCTTTTGAACGATCTCAAATGAGTTTGGATCAAAACAGTGATATGATCCTCTTTCATACGCATTTGTTTGCACAAGAGGTTCCCCGATTCTAATGAACCACAACTTGTGTTCTTTGTGGTAGAACCAACCCCTGTTGTAACTGCAAAACGAAAAAAGAGTTATGCAGCTTGTACCTATAGTCTGAGTTCAATTGTGAAGAAACTATTATGATGGAAAGGGCATACAGTTCATTTACTGCGTATAATTGCGCTTCATCTTTCGGCATGCTGCACGAGAAAAAATCATTATGTTTCATTTCACAAGTCAAGGCATCAACAACCAGTTAAAAAATTTCAAAGATACATACCTATAGAATACGTAAAACAAAGTTTCTGGCAATAACTTTGTAAAGAGCCTTTGCTGCATCCACCAAAAAGAAAAATCGAAAACAGCTAATGATAAGAAACCTGAAACTATATGAGGGAGTAGGGTGACTTACATGTAGAGGTGGAGGGTTTTTAGCGTAGTAACACTGCGGTACACTGAACTCAGGATCACCTTTTGAGGGTTCATTAGACCAAGGCGAGCCGAAAGTCTTATGAAGATTTTCTGTGGAGTTCAGATTTAACCCAAGTGTCGTCAGATCAATCCCAAGTGCCAAAGAAGTCAAGCCAGGGTCGCTCATCTTTATCACACTAAGCAGACCGAGCAAGCCAAAACGATCAGGTTGCATTGATTTTAATCCAACATCTCTAAAAGGTTGGCCAACAGCTGACATCTGCTGCAAGCGATACTGAGACGTGTTCTGATGGTGCTGATATTGCTGGAGAGGCTGGTCATAACCCATCCCAGTGATAGGATTTCCAGAATTCATTGATCTTAATCCAATACCCGGAGGTCCACCAGTCTGAAACCAATGAAATTTACTTTACAAAGAGCAGGAACATTGGCTTCATTAAGCAAAAACCTTAAACGATCTACATTAGATTATACCACACCTGAGAGTGGTAAGACGGATGCGAGGATGAGAAGATATCAGAGCCATTTAAGGAGACACCACTACTACTAACAGCTTGAGCATGTTGTTGCTGTTGTTGAGGATGGTGTGACGTATATGTTCCACCTAAGTTAAACCCACCAGACCTTCCCATCTGCAAATGCCACATGAGGATAACGTAAACAACTAAACATTGAGAGGAAAACCTTCAATAGAAGGAAATCAAACCTAATGACATTTATTGACAAGCTAAAACTCACAGATAACTGTTGAGATTGCATCATTAATACTGAATTCTCATGGAGTTGTTCTTTATGATGCAAATCCATTGGATAATCAGCATTGCTACCTGTATAGAAACCGATCAATCCTGTCAAGACTATATGTTAAACGGAAATCTCTTTATAAGAAGAACAATTTAACTGCATGCTGCACACCATGAAAATCTCGGAAACTTTAATACAAGGATATTATGAGAATTTAAGACGGTAGCATCACACTGGTTCATGAAGATGATTAGTAATTCAGTAGGGATATGATCACAAAATCACTCTCTAGATATTATGCCAATGTGGAAGGTGGATGGTTCCTTTTGGGATGAAAGTCTCAAACTCCGTAATGCAGACAAAATATGACACAAATATAATTAAAAAAGTAAGAAAGAAAAAGTAAAAAAGGAAGATGCAGACAGAAAAAGGGGACCTTTGTATCCAGGCAATGCAGGAAAATGTTCATTTTGAATACTGAACTCTTGGTTTTGCTGAACTATGGGGCTGAGTCCAAGGCCTTGTTGCAATCGAGCCCCTAAGAAAATTCAGAAATGGGTGGAGTTTTATGTTTATTCAAACACATAACAGAGAGAAGAGGGAATCAAAGGGTTAGTTATTACTTACCCAATTGCCCTTGAGCAGAGCTGGGACGGCTTGTGAGCTGAGGAAAATCATTATTTATATCGAACGGAGAAATGTCGTTGGAGTTCATATCATTCAGCAAGCTCATGGAGCTTAGATTGTCCATTGTTTGAACATGATTTTGGGGAAGACCCCCAGCTGTAGGGTATGAAGTTCCAAGCATAGAAAAAGCCTGCGAAGATCCTGAAGAGAAAAGGGAAGAATATAAGACTACATACAAATGCACATATCATCAATATAAACAAACAACACAAAGGGATACGCATCATGAGGTACCTTGTGGAAGGACCCCACTCATCATTTGTCCGATATTTCCAGATCCGTTGTCTGCTAGCCGAGAACCAAGACTCGGGATAGATAATCCACCGCCAGAGCTTAAATCCATGCCCATTGAGCCTCCACCAACCATATTCCCCATAGAGCTCTGTATTCGAGAACCGGCATTTCCCAAAATTGGAGAAACTCCCAATCCTGACACAGTAAACCAATCACCAATAGTGGCAGTGTTATTACAGAACTAAGTGTTTCCAACATTATTTATACCTCCTCCTCTATTAGTGAGTCCTGAGTGTCCATAAGAGCTACCATACGATATCTGGAAGTGAAAATCCAAAAAAACAGACTTTAAAGCAAAGCCAAAACAAGGAAAAGTTTCTTCATAGTTACAAAGCATAACAGCACCTGAGAGAGCCCAACGGGAAGATTGCTAGATGCAAATCTTCCATTCGAAAGACTTCCATTTTGTTGTTGAACTCCAGCAGAAGAAAGACCATTTACACCAGAGTTGGAGACATTAAAGCTTCCGTGCATGTTATGAAGGCCCTGAATAGAACCTATACAAAGAAAACAACCAAAATACATAAGTCCAGAAGGAACTCTTGACATTATTAACACCGAGAAACATCTAAACCCACCAGCATGATGGAACAGTGGAGACGCTGCCCCAGAGAAAGAAGAAGTAAATGTTCTCCCTGAACCGTCTGATAAACTCGAGGCCGATCCGTTTACTGATGACTGAGAATATCATTCGAGTTTTAAACACTAGTCATGAGGAATGAGTCCAATATAGTATTAAACTCTAGAAGATTATGAGGCAGTAGTAGTAGTACATTAAGTAAGCTTGACATTTGCAGATAGTATTATATGATCAACTCCACATGCAAACCAAAACCAAGCAAGAACCCTTCACTGAACTCAAACACTGATAGATATTGCAGCCGTAAATGGTTGATTGACCTGAAAATAGTGAGGCAAGAAAACAACAACATAAGCAAATCGATCAAAGAACTCGACTTTAAAGAAACTCTATAAAGAGTAGAAATTGAATGCATCTGAAGTCACACATTTCAACCCTAATCAAAACTCTTTTATGCATTGAAACGAAACTCTACAGAACGTTCTTAGAATGCCAGCAACCAGATTAACGATTCTATGGGATGAAAATAACGAAAACCCTAGAGAGCATTCAGATTTGTGATATGAAACAGGACCTGCTCAATTACTATGAATCAAGAAGATGTACCTTCACTCAAGAAGCTCAACAAGGATCGGAAAGGTGGAGAAGTTATCGGAATATACAAATCTCTTCTTCTTTTTTTTCCCGTCGTCGTTTTTGTCTTTGTTTTTTTGGACGCTTTTGTCCCTCTATATCTGGTTATTTAATTGTAGGGCTTATTGGTAAATAAACATGTTCTTCTTCATAGTCTTGTCGCTTTGTAATTTGAAAATCTATATTAATGTTTACTTCAAAATTTAAATCTGAAGTTATATTTGGCTCTAACGAAATATTTTAAAATATAATAAGAAATAGGAAAATTGTCATTTAAATCACCAACTTTCAAATTCGATTGAAATAAAACACTAACTTTCTAATAAACCAAAAAAACATTCAACTTCTGTTGACAAGCCATTTTAGTCACAAACTTTCATCAACCCTATTAATTTAGTCATATCGTCAGTCAACAGTTATAGTTGACTAACGCTATGCCTAAAATGAATTTTAAAGTTGGTGTTTTTTTGGCACAAATATAAATCAACAATTTTTCAAAATATTGGCTTTTAAATATTGAAAATTTTAATAACTATAACACTAATAAATAAAATTTTAAATAAAAGATAAATTACATTCAAAAATATAAACATAACTCAATGTAAAATTATTAATTAACATATCCTTAATTGAGTATTTTAGTTAAAAAATGATTATGATTTTTTCAATTATTTACGATTAGTTTTTAAAAACTATTTGTATAATCCTACACAGATTTTGTTTTATAATTTTACTGTCAAAAATTTGTTAGTAAAATATTACTTCAATTCTTGACTTTTTAAACAAAATGAGTTATCGGATGACAAAAAGAGTTATCTATTTTGGTGAAACTTTTTTTTTTTTAGATGCAGAAAACCACTTATAAAATTTTTATAGAAAATATATAGATTTGTTTGAAGATCTTTATTATAAACTTAAAGAATCATGAATAATTCGTTAATCGATAACTTTTTTTCATTTAAGAAACAAGAGTTGAATTAATATTTCATCAAAAAAAATTTGAAAATAAAATTATGAAACATAATTCAAATAGGATTATATAAATATTTACAAAAATTAATCGTAAATAATTAAAGTATTCTTATCATTTTATAACCAATATACTCAATTAATGTATGTTAACTAATTATTTTAGCTTGAGTTTTATTTATATTTTTTATTGGATTTACTTTTAATTATTTATTGCACACAAAAGACAAATTCTCTATCTCTTCTTGATAAAAAAATAATTGATATTCACTTTTTATCAAGAAGAGATAGAGATTTTGTCTTTTGTGTGCAATAAATAATTAAATGTAATTCCGAATATTCAAAATTAAATATATTTATATATTTTATTTAGTTTTTTTTTTACAACGAAAGGCTGATCTATTACCAAATATGTTATTTAGTTGGATGCTCTTGAAAATTTATATGTATATATTTAAGTTGATACTCTTTAGATAAATATCACTATCAAAATTACTATTTTTTTTGTTTGTAAATCAGTAATGAATATACACCCTTTAAATCAATTTATCGCTGAGTTTTAAACTCATGCTTTAAACCAAGATTCATAAAGTTTTTTTTTTGTTTTGCTAAAACCAAGATTCATGAAGTTGATATGCATAAGAGAAAAAAGAGTAAAAATTAATTCAATCATTTGTGAATGCCTTTACATGAATTCTTTTGAATATAGCCATTACATCAAATTATCTAACAAAATTCACAGAAAAAATGTAGTTCCACGAAGTGATGATAGAGATGAAGTTCTTTTAGACAATATCCTCTGTTTTGGAAGTCTGATTTTTCGATGATTCATTTGTTTTCTCTGTATAATTTCGTCAATACAAAAAAAACAAATATTAGCTTCATTAAATAAGTAAGTAAATCTATATAGAATTTGAATAAGTTACCTTGTCCAAGACTTAGAGCCTTTTTTGTTTTGTGCTTCACATAGAAAAAGTATATAACACAGATGATGATAATAGTAACCACAATTGCTGCTATTATGATTCCAACAACGGCTGAAACATCCAGTGATCCTACTTTACTCTTATGTTTTCTCTTCTTCGAACCTGCAATTTTATTTGTATAATGAGTGTTCTAAATAAACGCTTAACAATAATAGAATAAAAATTAACTGAGTCAAATTTGTTTAGGTTAAGAAAATACCACTCTTCTTGGAAGCTTTAATCACAGCCACTTTTGAGCCAGCGACTAAAGCTTGAAGACTTCGAACTTTCACTAGATCTTCAACATACGATCCTTGCTGACTCGTGGCAATAGAATATGATTCAGCATCGTCTTGTCTATACAAAGAAATAATATATATTTGTTAATAGTTGTACGTAGACATGAGAAAATCGGATTTGGAGGTCTTCGTCTTACTTAAACAAGACATCTCTTGTGGGATGAGAATAACAGGAAGCTAGAGACAAGGAAGCGAGTACGATGAGGACGGTGAGAAGAAGATTGTAAGCCATCGAAGTTGTTGCCTTGTGTTTTGTCAATGTCGAAAAATATAAGAAGAAATATGGACGAAGACTTTGATATATATAGTCATTTCTCTATGAGCATATTTGTATTTGGTCAGTTATTTTATCAATCAACTTGTAATTATATATACTCAGATAAATTTTGACCAAAAAAGAAATATATATACTCACATTGTTAGATGTGCGTGTGGACCGAGCGGTAGGCTGTCTATTATTTCATTTTATATTAGCTTTAGGCTGTCTGCGTTTGACTAGAATAATAGAGATTAGGGGAAATTTTGATTTTTAACTCATCAAGTAGACATTACTTATGATTTACTATCAACATCCATCTTTGGTAATCATTGCTCACTCGTATCCATAACATATGATTGATCATCATATCTTCAAAACAAAGAGAAAGCAAAAGAAATGCTTGTAAGTAATTGGAGACATATGAAACAAGTGAAGTAGGCTTTTGAGATAAAAACGAGTACAAGGAGGACGCTGAAAAGAAAACTGGAAGCCATTAAAGTCGTAGCCTAATATTTTGTCAGCGTGGAGAAATATGACGAACAGATATGGAATAAGATGCTAAACAATCCGGGTTGGAATGCACTTCGTTACATTCTATCACGTATATACAAAAATATGGGTCTATTACTTATGATCTATTTAAATATTTGGAGAAATGGTTCATCTTTGGATTGTACTTCCAAAAATCTAGTTAATCGAAAAAGAAAAAAATAGAAGACTTTGATATATGTAGGCGACTGGTCGTTTATTAATTAACTTTTATATATACATAATACACTATACTCAGACGTGATGATGGTAAGCGGTCGTTTATATTTTATGTAGTTGATTGTGGTGGGGCTTAGGCTGTCTTCGTTGGACTAGAAAAATTCTCTAATGTTAAAACTTAAAAGGGAATAAACGATTAGGGAAATTGTATTGTAATCTCACAAGTGTAGTAGTATATATTTAACAGAATTCCAAGAAAACACGAACTTGGAATTTGAAGTTTTACAATATACTAAGACATTGTTTGCACAAATTTACACATAACTACTTTTTGTTTGTTGAGTTTGCACATGTTTTGTGACGTATCCCTCTGTTTTATAATAAATGTCATTCTAACAATTTTTTTCTTGTTACACAAAAAATGTCACTTTACAATTCTAATACAAATTATACTTAATTTTAACTGAAGATTAATTATAAATTGCATTAATTTTATGAATAATTTTGTTTATCTAAAATACTATTGGTTAAAGAGGTATAATTAATAACAACTTACATATATTTCACACATTTCTTAATCTGCATAAAAAATGTTAAAGTGACACTTATTTAGAAACGGAGGAAGTAGTATAATAGCCTAAATTGGAAAATGGATAACATCTCTCATCCAAGATCCCATATATATTAATTGAGAAACATTTGAAAAGTTATAATCTTAAATTTATATTAATTAAAAAATAAATATTCTACGTGGCATCTCTCTATGTATTTTATTTCAATTTAGAAAGATTCTAGAGCACCTCATATAAAACATAGTTTTAATACATGATCCGTTGGTGTCATATAAGACATATCAAACAAAATAACATATCAAACTAAATCTCCTATATATTCTTTCATTAAATAAAACCTACGAAATTTACTAATGTGATTAAAATATATATGACTACTAATGATTTTAAATAATAAAGATTTTTTAACAATATGTATTCTTTATATCATTTTTGTTTATTTTTTATTATTAAAATAAATTACACAACTACACTAATCATATAATAAAAATTTAGATTTTTTTTTATATATGTTGTATTTTGAAATTTTCAAAACGAGTATAAATTACTAAAACTGTTAAAAAATCTCACATAAACTTTTGTGATCAAGATCTTTTTTTTTTTATAATAAGTTACAATGATTATAAAATCACATGAATAAATAATTCTATTTTAATAGGTGTTTATGTTAGTATATATATATATATATATATATATATATATATCATATCATATCATATAAATAAATAATATTATTGTAAACATAATTATAATTTAAAATTAACTTAAATTTTTTTTATAAATTTTTTTTTATTTTAATTTTTTTTACAAATATAATTTTATGATATTGTTAGACAAATAAATAAATTATATCAAATTAGTTTTGAAACTTTATATATTATAAATGAAAATATTCTACCAACTGCTTCTTAAGAAAATATTAGGGAACTTGATAATGCTCTACAATTAAGTCATGTGATACTCCGTTTATTTTCCATCACTCGAGCACTGAAAAGTGAAAAGATATATGAACCGGACCTATTAAATTATAAGTTTTGATCTATAGTTCTAATTACAATTGTTTTTGATCCTACACATAGATAATTATATAAACTCTAAAATTTCAAATACATATAAAAACAATCATATGTAAATTTTAAATTTGTCAATACTAAAATTTTATATTTTAATTACATATATTTACATGCGCTTTGTGCATGTCTTATCCTAATTTATATTAAAACTATAGTAATTCCAAATATGATCCGGTATACATCTCTTTTCCAAGATTCTATTATTATACGATTATTGATAAAACTGATATAAATTATATATATTTTATACATATATTTAATGTGATTGTACGTGACTTAACAACCACGGCAGACGCATCAACGATCATTATAGCATTATTTATAAATAAATAAATAAACAACAGTAGCAAGTTTATCAAGACCCAAACGAGTTTAAGGATAAGCGCTTCAAACATTGGTGTCACCACATGAACGCTTTCTTGTCGTAGTACTCATGGCAACTGTCTTGGTCTTTCTCCTATTAAATTTTGTAAACAAATTAGATATTCTCTAGTTATACTAATCCAAAACCACACATTCGTTGCACGTTCGAAATCGGGTGGAAACTCTCCGTTTGTAAAGTTTGTAAGAAATATCTAGTATTTCTTGGGGTAAAAAAAAAAAAACAATTCTAGCATTTATATGTAACTTATTTAGACCTAGTGTTGTGCTTGGATACGTCACAAAACATGTGAAAATACTTAAGTCGTTTATCGCCTAGGTCCCGTAATATATACTCGGTTATGCAATCTGAAAGCCTAAAACATTTTCTATTAATAAACTAAGGAAACTAAACGGTGCTTAAACTTCAATATATATTTTTGTATGAAAATTCAATATATTATTTAGGTAAAATCGTATTTTACCTGAATAGGGTTCAATAGCGGCTGCATTCATGGCCTTTTGTCTTTTGACAAAGACAAACCAGATTCCTATGGCGACCCCAATTAGAAAAAGAGACCAATAGATAGATTTATAACCGTCTTGGTACCGTTGTGTGCACCGCTGCCTCCACTAGTAGTAGTTTTGCAATCGAGAGTCATCCTACCAAACTTGTCTGCATTGTCCAAACTTCGTTCTGCCTGTTGGTCGTACAATTCATCCGAGCTCGAAGATGAACCACACCTTGGATCTCCTACTCGTAAATGCATGTAAGTTAATGAACTCATTTCAGTTCTGTACACATATTATAAGGTACATGACATGTAACATGTTCATGATATACATTCTTCCGGTTTGGTGGTCAAATAATTTATCAGTCAAAAAGAGAAAAAAAATATTCATGATGTAGAAATATGAATGTGTTTAAGTGAAAAAAAAAAAAGAATGTGTTTAAGTGATAAGAAAATACCATTGGTGAATCCAACAAAGGCTATCAAGGCGAAGAGAAACAGAAGAAGGACGGTACGGAACGACAACATTTCCCTTGTGTTTAAAAGAGCAATGATTGACGGGTATTTTTTACGTTAACCAGATGATTTGTAAGTGTCCACATCATATACACAAATATTCTATAATGGGAAGCAAGTAATCAACTTCCAGTATCGTATCCATTATAAGTTTCGATCAAATTTAAATACGAATTTTCTTTACATTTAAACTTTTGTTATGATTAATAACCCTTTGTAGATTTAGTCCATGTATGTATTGAAACATAAAGTACTCTGTGCTCTAATGGGATGCAAGTCATCAACTTCCAGTATGTATATACACAATGCAAGAAGAGGTTGTGAATTGTAAAGTAATCCAATAGGCAACATATATGGAACTTATTTTTGAAGTTTGATAGCCGTCCCGTGAGTGAGTCCTGAAACAAGCCACAACATCTTTTAGTGAATGTAATGTTTTGTTTTTGGGAGGTTGAAATCATCCATAAGAAAATATACCCTTAATGGAGTAGTAGGGGTTGTTTGTTGTATAAATGCAAATGGTGTATGTAAATAATGGAATGGAAGTTATCAACTTTGGCTAATTTATTTTTTTGTCAAAAAAACTTTGGCTAATTTATTCTCTCTGTAATAATGATCTAAATTAGTTTTCATACTAAAGAACTTATGCATAATTAACTTTATACCAATATGTACCGTTATGCTATTGTTCGACATTTTTTATTAATCTGCTGCTTTTATGTTAACATTCTGAACTATATCCATCTCTATAGGCCAAATCTTGCCAAAAATCTTCATCCAACATCACATCAATTCTCATTTTTTGCTTTCCCTAATTTTTTTCTAAAGATTTCAATTTTCTTAATCATTCTTTCTCTCCTCTAAATGCACTTTCAATTAATCGTATGAACCTTTATATCATTCTTTCTCTTCAATCTGCTCTGTTTCAATTTATATTCTTTATTCTCAGATCTCAGACTATCTTTAATATGGTTGGATTTGTTCTGACAAAATCTTCACAAATTTTTTTATAAATCTCCATACTAGCTACAAAGGTGTAAGTGTAATATTAGATGTCCAAATTTCTATATGTACCAACAAATACATATACCAAAACATTATTCGTATGTTCATTTCATATGTCATGGTTATGATCTTGATTCTTATGATAATCAAAGAATGTGATGTACAAAATTCATACAAGTTTTATCCCAAATAACTTATTTGTTAGCCATGTAAATATTATATCAACTGTGTAACAAATTGACATTACCAGCAAATTAGTTTTTAACCCATATAACTCCTTATCTAACCGGGTATATATTATATTAGCTGTCCGAAAAATTAAGATTTCCAAATAATTTATTTGTTAACCATGTAAATATTATATCCTAACAAATTAACATTACCAACAAATTAGTTTTTAGCCCATATAACTCATTGTCTAACTGGGTATATATTATATTAGCTATCCCAAAAATTAGTATTTCCAACTACTACACATACATAAACAATAGTAGTATGCTTATCAAGTTTTTAACAAAAAGAAAATTGAAGTTCATGATAATATATTACAACATTGCTTACAATAAAGTTTAACAAGTCAAAAGGAAAAAAAAACGATTATATTCAGTTTTATGAAAGTACCCTCATCGGTTATAAGAAATATTATCAACCCAAAAATAAACTTAACCAGGCTAGTGATTTTGTAACCGAAGCTTAGTCTGGTTATCCCTCCGTCGGAGCCACCACCTTCTCCACTAGGTTGGCTAATGGTGAAAGAATGACGTCCATGTACAAAACCCAGTGATGTTTCGCACTTTCCTGTCCGTATATCTTCGGTTGACATTTTCTATTTTTCACCAGCTTACTGAGTTTTCTTGGTATTGATTCGGTGGTGGCAACTTTGAGCTTGCGAGCTTGTAGAAGCGCTCTGTCAGTTGTCTGGGATTGTGGTGATGAGTGGTTGGGTATGATTAAGTGATTATATAGAAAAAGAAAACAGAGAAAAAAATAGATAAACCTATGAACTCATGAACTTGTCTAACTCATATCTACTTTGATTTTGCTTAGATTCATTGTCAAAAAAAAAAAAAAACAGAAGATGAAAGTGGAGATAGAAGCCAACGTTAATGAGAGAGAAATAATTTTTTTTCTTAAGTTTATCAATTATATGGTTAAATTTTATTCTTACAAAATCTTTAATAGATCTTCATGCTAGCTACCAACCTACAATATTAAATTAGAAGAAAATTTGCGAAGGTCTTGGAAGTAATTTTCTATACTTTGACACTACAGCAACATCTAACTTTTGTCTGTTTTTGTCATTTTACTAATATCACTATCTTTTGTTGGTTTTAAGCTAATTAGCTTATAATAAATTTGTAATATGAGTTTATGCCTTTTACAATGCAGCCTCAGTCCAGCATCTACTACACTCATTGCAGACGTTTGGTTACAACTCGTCTCCTTTTTATTTATCAAGCTTTTTCAGCCTTTTCAACTCGTATACGGATCATAGTCCAATCTTACATCCAATTTTATCTATGGTGGGTCCTCAGCCCAAGTACGGAAATTTGGCATTTGGATCAAAAAATGAACCCATTTTCAGTAGACACTGTCAAACTAGACTGTAAAATTAATAACAAAAAATCGGAAAATTGTAAATCTGTAAAATAAACGAAAAAATATTGACCAAGAAAAAGGATCAATCTAGTCAAAATGAATGAGAAACATTAAAATTAGATTTCTTGTGCCGAATAGTACCAAAGTAGTATATAATACCAACTCTATCTCAACTTCTAAATCTAAAATTTAAATCTTATTTCAACCAATTTTAACTCTTAACACTAAATCTTAAATCCTAATCAGTAAATCATAAACCCAAGTATAGACCATAAATCTAAATATAATGGAATAAAATATATAGTATAGTATATATTGGTTAACAAAATATAAAATTATTTATTAATTTTCAAATGGAATAATACATGATAGGGTCACTAAACCCAAGCCTCAACTCTCAAATATAGACTATAAACTCAAATACAATGAAACAAAATACATAATATAGTATATATTGGTGAGCAAAATAGAACAATCTTTATTAATCGTCAAAAGGAACGATACATGATAGAGTCACTAAACCCAAACCTCAACTCCACCTTCCAAATAAATACTAAACCCTAAATCTTAATCACTTAACCCTAAACCCAAGATTAGACCCTAAACCCAAATAGAATGGAATAAAATACATAGTACAGTACATATTAGTGAACAAGAACACTCTTTATTAATTGTCAAATAGAACGATACATGATAAAAATTATAGTAACAAAATATTTTGCATTGCATTACATAACATGAATATAACAAACATAATATATATTATTTTATATTTCTATTCGATACGCATATAATAGAATAGAGCACGATTTAACAAAAACGGTTCATCTTCTCCGAAGAATAGTATATTCCACAAGTTCATCTTCTTCTTCTTTTTTCTAGACATGGTGACTCTCTTCTGAAAACAAAACAAAGTTTGGAAACAACACAGAGGTGGCATTAATCATTAATGGTACACACTCTTCTGAAAACATTCAAAAACTGGTGGTTTTATTGTTCTAGATCTTACCAAAAGGTTAACGATTTTTGGAAGGTGATGCGACTTCGAATGTGAATGCGCCATCTGAAGACTCAGATCCAACTCTATCATCGTTTTCGAATTTGTGGCTATCGTACCCGTGAAATTGACCAGGTCACAACAGAAGATCTTTTGATTGCAAGGAGAAACTAAAAACTATACTTTGATTGCAGAGAAAATTTTACAGTTGTAAAAAAAATGTATCAGCCTCAACTTTTTACTTTCCTAAAAATTTACGAACAAGAAGTTATTAGAAATGATGAGGGAGTAAAGAGGAAGACGCGTAACTTTCTAAGCCAAAGATAGTTATTTAATTTTTTTTTATTATGCATGTTTACCCCAGTTGAGTGAATGGCCAAAAAGAAAATTATACAAAAAATACAAGCAGTGTATATGAATTGTAGGACTTTTGGTCTTTGTGTGAATTATAATTTTTTTTGTTGGCTATTGGTTGCAATTTCCCTATTAATTAAGTTCTCTATTTACAACATATTGGCGTCTGGTCTTTTATTAATGAACTTGTATAATACTCAGACGTAATTGTAAGCCGTGGTTTATTTTATTTTATTTTTGATTATGGTTTAGAGCATCTTCATTGAGAGTTAATGGGGGGAGATCACTCGGAAATCAAGAAAAAAAATAATACTAAAATATAACAAATTTGGTGAACCTGTGTCGTGCAGGGTCACTGAAATGAACCCGGATCAACACTGTTTCACGGATCCCACGCCACGTGGTGATCCACAATTGGTCCACTTTATTTTCTTTTTTTTAAATGGAGTTCATAAGTAATATTTTCGATTTTTTTTAAGTCAAACGAAAAAAATAAAAATAAATCGAAAATATTACTTATGAACCCCACCCCCTCCGGTTCATTAATGTGCATGCTCTTAGAGCATCTCTAATGTAAAATTCTATTTTTCCTCTATAATGGAGTAAAAGAGAATATAGAGTAAAAATGCTCTAACCCCACTCCATTTTCCATTCCATAATGAAGTGATGAACAAATAAAAAATAGATTACTCCATTTATAGAGTAAACTCAATTATGAAGTAAAAAATAGAGTAGGGTTGGAGTGTTTTCTACTCCATATTCCCTTTTATTCTATTTTAAAGTAAAAAGTGGAGTTGAGTTAGAGATACCCTTAGAGCACCCCATTGAAGGTTCATGGGGGGAGTTCACACGGAAATCAAGAAAAAAAAATAATAAAATAATAAAAACCTATGAACCCCTCTCTCCTAAAGTTCACCGCGGTGAACCCCTCTCTCCTGAGGTTCAACACGTGGCGGCTCGGGATTGGTCTAGATTTTTTTTTTTGTTTTTTTAAAAAAAAAAAAATCAAAAAGAAAACAGAAAATTTTTAAATAATAAAAAAATGATTCAATGAACCCCAAGAGGGGGTTCATTGATGTGGATGCCCTTAGGATGTCTTCGTTTTCTACTTAAAACCCTTCTGTAATATTAAAAGCATACAAACAATAGAAGACATAATTTGAAGAAAAAAAACAATAGAAGACATCATTTCCAATAGTTTACACAAACTACATTTTTGTTTGTCGAGTTTGACAGCACCTATATTCTCTATATACTAAAGCACAAGTCGGCTGGCCAATCAAAAGCCGACATGTGGAAAATAGTTTAAAAAAATAATTGAAAAGAAATTGAATTGATTCCTTATTTTTAGCAATTATCTATTACATTATTTCTCCCACGTTCAAACTCACTTGCACGATTTTAAACTGTTATTTTCTTTTATATAATTTACTTTTTGTTTCTTGCTTCTTTTTTTTTCTATCTTCTCTAGCACAAGAAGAGGTTTTTTCATCTCTCTTAGAATTTTAACTTTGACCTCGGGTTTCTTTTTTTCTACTTTCTTTTTTCTGCACTAAGTTTAAATTTTTATTATTCGTCATCTGGATTAGTATTAAAAGTCTATTAACGACAAATTCTTAGATTGATACGTTGAAATTGCGGGAAGCATTTGATACTGATATGGTAATTTTGAAGAGATTCAATTTTGGATCACTATGGCATAGCTGACTTATCTTCCTCTATCTATTGATTTACAGAGGCGCCTCTGGAAGTCACGGTTTGGAGAAAAAGAATGGAGCATGGAAAACCTATAACTACACTCACGGCCAGTGATCTTCCAATTGATTCAAAGAAGCACATGGTTTTTTGGCCTGACAAAGAAGGTTTTGGCATGTTTTTCATTATTTACTATTCATCTTTGATTTGTTGACTTTTTCTGTAACACTTTTGATGTTTCATTTGCTGAATCATTATTTTTCAGTATTCAGTACTGCAATTGAGTTCGAAACTAATCCAAAGGTGAATTTCTTTACTTATTTTTTGCTATACAATTTTTTTTTTTAATTTATAATAGGTAAACTAAAGTTGTAAATCTTAATCTTATAAATTCACTAGACTATCAAAATAAGTAATGTGCTTTTTGGAAATATGTTAGGTAAATTAACATAAAATGTCAATTTAAACTATAAAAACTTAGACCTTTAAAAAACTATAAAATTTAAAATAGTAAATTTATTAAATTCATAAATTTACATTAAACTAAATTAAGTATATTTTTATTATGTACGAAATCATTAAGTATTGTAAGTTTAAGTATAATTTATATTTTGGTATATATTTTATTTATTTTGGAGTTTTTACAAAACATATTTTCCATTTAAAATGTTATGAAAGTTATTTTCGCATCCCCTCAACCGCTTTGTTCAGTGCATGTATTTCTAATAATATGTAGTGTTCATATAATATTTTAAATAATATCCACTCTGATTGAAAATTATGTTGATGAAACAAATAATTCTAAAAAAATTAATTGACCTGTGCGTAGCACAGGTGGTAATACTAGTATGTATATAACGAAACGACCAATTAGTTTTGGGTCTTCTAGTATAATAGTGGACAGCACCGTAGTCTCTCCTTCGAGACTATATTAAAACGTGTAACTCAAAATATGGTCTGGTTGACATCTGTACTCCAAGATTATATTGTTATCGATAACGGTTGAAATTAGTATAAGTTATTGTTATACATATATTCAATGTGAATTGTACGTGACTTAACAACCACGGCAGCCACATCAATGTTCATCATAGCGTTATTTATAAATAAGTAGAATACAACATTAGAAAGTTTTTTTCTTTTGATAAAAAATGGCTGGGGCACGCTTAGCCTTCAAGGCCAAATTAGCTACATAATTTTATAACATTAGAAAATTATCAAGATCCAAACAAGTTTAAGAATAAGCACCTCAAACATTGGTGTGACCACTTGAAAGCTTCCCTGTCGAAGTACTCATGGCAACAGTCTTTGTCTTTTCATCCATTCCATGGCCCATCTCTTTAGCTCCCACGTTTCCTATTAAATCATATACATACGTATAAATTATATAACCTCACGTAGTCACGTTCGTTGCATGTTCTGAATTACTCTCCGTTTGTAAAGTTGTGTCGAATAATTCTATTAATTTCTTGGCCAAAAAATAATCATAGTATATGTGTAAAAAATAATGAACCGTAATTAAACTTCGATAATATTTTACCTGAGTAGGGTGTGATAGCGGCTGCGTTCATGGCCTTTTGTCTTTTGACACAGATAATCCAGATTCCAATGACGACCCAAATAAGAAAGAAGAGACCAACAGATAGTTCTATAATCGTCTCAGAACCGCTGTGTGCGCGACTGCTTCCACCAGTAGTTTGGCAATCGAGAATGATCCGACCCATCCTGTCCGCACTTTCCGCACTTCGTTCCGCCTGTCGGTCGTACATTTCTTGCCGGGCCGCAGATAAATCATCACAACTTGGATCTCCTATTAAGTTATAATGAACTCATTTCAATTCTACACACATATTATTATAAGGTACATGTAACATGTTCATGTAGTGTACATGTATGAATTGTTTTGTAGATGTATTTAAGTGATATATAGGAGAACTAATACCATTGCACTACAAGAAAGTGACTTCCATACCGACACTCAGATATGTCGGGATGTCCTCGGAAGACCTCATTTCCGATATTGTTCCGACAAACCACAAGACGTCGGCGTTTGACTCTCGGAAATACTGATATGTCGGTATGTTATCGGAATTTACCGAGAAACACACATTCTCGGAAAACTTGTCGGTAGAGGTTGTCGGTAATACCGAGGGTGTTCCGACAAATGTATAAATTTAATTAAAAAAAATAAAATTCAAAATAATGAAAATGCAAATAAAGATAATAATATTTAATTATCAAATATTCACTACATTAAAAATTAAAATAAACAAATAAATTGTTAAATAAAATCTGAAGCTCTGGCGGTGATGCACAAACGCGGTTTTGGTGAAAGCAGAGAAGCGGTAGGCCCAACCGCGGCTTGGTAAACATCATCTACGGTTCTCCAAAAAGAATCTGAAATTATAAAAACAGATCTGAAAAGAATGAGAAGAAAATGAACAAAAGAGAAGATAAAAAGGAGGCAGAGAAAGGCAAAAATTAGTACAAAATTGGACATACCTTTTCTTCTAAGAAGAGAAGCCACTATCCCTGGGATTTCTTCTAACTTTTCTTCTTGCTGCTCTTAAGGTCTTGAAAACAGAGACTGAAAATCCCAGAAGTTAAGAAAAAGATATAGATCTAAAAAGAGTTATGCTAGGTGAAAATAACGAAAACGAAATGAAACAGAAATTAAGGGAATAATATCAACCAAATTGGTGCCCGATTAAAGAAACTTAGGAAGAAGATTACATGATAAAGAAGAGAAAGAGAAGAAGGTAGAATTAAAAGAAGTTGATGAAAGAAAGGATATGTATTAAAGAAGGGAGAACAAGACTATAAAACATTTACCTTTCGATAAGATTAATAAAAACTATTTTAAAAATTAATAGAAAATGTTAAAAATATATTGATAATCTGTATGTGGCCACTGTAGACACACGCCACACACTTACCGTGAGCCTTCCGACGAATCCTTGTCAACTTTTCCGATTATTTACCGAGAAGAGTTTTTTTGGTCGGTATAAAAATTTTCCGAGAAATTTACGAGAACTCGTTCCAAGAAATTACCGACAAAACCGTTTTGTCGTAACTTTCCGATAAGATTCTAACAAAATTTTGTAGTTCTCAGAAAATTCTCGGTAATCCATTAGTATTTTTCTGACAAAGGGGGTTCTCGGAAATCTTCATCGGAGGATACACATTTTTCTTGTAGTGTTGGTTGATCCAACAAAAGCTATCAAGGCGAAGAGAAACAAAAGAAGGATGGTATGGAACGACAACATGGCGGGTCTAGAAATACCAATGATTGATCGATATTGTTTTAGGTTATAACCAGAGGATCTATGTGTGTCCATTTATGTCTATGTATATACACAAAAACGTAAAGTAATGGGATGCAAGTCATCAACTTTCTAGTTTTTTTTTATCCATTCTAAAAATCGAATTAACTATCAATTTAGCCGTCCCGTGTTTGAGTCCTCAAACCAGCCACAATATTTTTTTAGTGAATGTATGTAACGTTTGTGTTTCGAGAGGTTGAATTCATCCATATGAAAATATATCCTAAATTGGTAAGTTGAGTTTGTTTGTTATACAAATATGCATATGGTGTGTGAAATAATGGAATGCAAGTTATCAACTTTGGCTATTATATTCCTTCAATGTAATTATACATCTGTATTATGAGTTTACTAGGTGATTTTCCCGTGCTCATGCACGGGTATGAATATTTATCAAGTAAATATATTGTAATATATTCTAATTTATTAATTTACATAGATATTTACTTTTAATTATAAATTAATTTATAATTTATATGTATAACTTATATTAATAATATTAGATTATTTTAATTCGACATATGATTTAGTAGATGTTATATTTAATNGCTCATGCACGGGTATGAATATTTATCAAGTAAATATATTGTAATATATTCTAATTTATTAATTTACATAGATATTTACTTTTAATTATAAATTAATTTATAATTTATATGTATAACTTATATTAATAATATTAGATTATTTTAATTCGACATATGATTTAGTAGATGTTATATTTAATCGGTTAGGTTGCTTTTTTGGTCAATATTCGATTTGGTTACACTTGTGTATTTTAGATTGCATCTATTTTTCTGAATTCAACTATAATATTTTCCTTCTAAATATGCTAAAACTTTAATTAGTATTGTATTTAGATTGGCTATCGTCTTATATATGTAAATATATTTTAATAAGATTATGTATAACTTAATATATATTATGCTTATAATGAAATTTAAAATAAACTGAAATTTTGACACAAAATTATATAAATGAATATAACGATAATACTCTGAAGTCTCATTCATATATATATATATATATATATATATATATATATATATATATATATATATATATATATATATATATATATATATATATATATATATATATAAATTTTACAAAGACAGTGAATTATAACAGTTGGTTAATATTTTTTTTTCTATATTGATATTTTTGAGTCATATTGTAATCTATATGTATAAAAATAAATAAATAATTATTTTTAAATTATATGTTTTTGTTGTAGTTAGATCTTTTATTTTTGATATAAGTTAGATTCGTTCCATTGCTCGTTTTGTGAGTATATTGAGTTATATATATTTTTCTAATTAAATCAAATCAAATTAGTTATATTTACCGCTTAATGCAAGTATTTTATAAGATTTTTAATAATTGGACATATGTTGATTTTTAAGATATATTAAAAATAAAGTGACGATCAATAAGAATTTACAATCATAAATATGAGTATAAAGATAAACATTTGAAATTTCATGAGAACATATTAATATTTATAAATTCTAAATTATTTTATACCTTAGATTTCTTAAAAGGTAAATTGAAATTTTTTAAACAATCTTAAAAATGAGAACTTAGATTTACTTAAGTATTTTGATTATTTATCTATTAAGTTCCATAAACATAAAAAACATAAAATTAAAAAGCAAACTATATATTAAAAAGAATTTTTAATAATGATAAAATANAATTGAAATTTTTTAAACAATCTTAAAAATGAGAACTTAGATTTACTTAAGTATTTTGATTATTTATCTATTAAGTTCCATAAACATAAAAAACATAAAATTAAAAAGCAAACTATATATTAAAAAGAATTTTTAATAATGATAAAATATTATATTTTCATTTCATTAATAGTGTATAGTGCTACGCTATTTAAAAAAATTTGAAATTATTTGATCAGAATATTTATGTGTTAAAAAAATTATTTTATTTTTGAATATCTCTTAATAAACACTAAAAATGTTGTTTTATGAAAATGTCGAAAAAAATATTTAATTTCGTTTATATATAAACATTTTTATTTCAGAAATATTTCCTTTTTGTATATGTGTGTTTAAAAAGTAAACATAAATTAAAAAATTAAGTAAAATCTTATTATGAGAAAAGGAAATACATTATTCATATCAATCTTATTTAATATTTTTGTTTATTAAGAGTATCCATGTAATTAACCATCGTGAGAGTTAACGTGAGCGAGACACGTAGGAAACTGACTTCTCAAATAATATTATAGAGATACATTTAAATTAAATATTACTATTTTGTGAACTTTCCTTTTTTTATTAAACCATATTATATATACTTATATTTTCGTTTTTAAATAGTTTTGTAAATTTCATAAATGTTTCCTTTTTATTTTATATTATTATTTGGAAATTTCTGAAAAGGAAATAATATTTAATTGTATTTTTAATTCATTAGGGGTATCATAGTAATCAACCAGCGTGAGAGTTAACGTGAGCGCGACACCTAAGAAAGTGACTTCTCAAATAATATTATAGAGATACTTTTCTATGCAGACTCAGTCCGAAAACTGAATATATTCAAAACCACGATCCGTTTTATTATGCGCGTGGTATTTTTCTAAACTAACTTGCAACTTTTTTTTTTTGCTAGATAACTAACTTGCAACTTAAATTATTGTTTCTTTGTTAGTTAGGCAAACGCAAAGTGAAATGATAATTTATGTACTTTATTTATAAGGTGACTAGGTGACCCACCTACTACAAGAAAACTGGCGGAAACCGACGGCCAAAATCGCCGGTATTTCGTCAGAAAACGCATATTCCGACGACAACTTAACGATTTTGATCGTTGGTATAAATTCGTCAGAAAAAACAAATCCGTCGGAAATCCGTCAGAATTTCCGACGATATTCTGACGAAACGATTGCGTCGAAATATTCTGACGAAATTCTGACGAATATTCCGACCGATATAACGTCGAACTTTCGTCGGTCGTCAGACAATATGCCGACGCTTGTGTTTCGTCGATATTTCCGACGACCGTAATGCGTCGGTATATTCCGACGACATATTCCGTCGGTATATCCGACTACCGACGTATGATGTCCGTCGGTATAATCCGACGCATCTAGTCCGTCGGAATATACCGACGTAGTTATCCGTTGGTATATACCGACGGAATAGATTCGTCGGAATATACCGACGGTTTTGTATCCGTCGGACCTTTCTATTTTAAAAAAAAAAAAAATTATGCATTTTTAAATGTTTTTATTATTATTAAAATTTGATAAATAATTAAAATTTGAAATTGAAAACTAATAATATTATACCAAATAAGTTTATACAAACTTGAATTGAAAATTAAAACATAGAGAAAGTTTTAAAACAATAAAAACTTAAACTAAGAACCTGAAGTAGAACCCGGCGGAGGAAACAACTGATCTAGCCTCGCCATTATTATGTTGTTGGTCTGCTTTTGATCCGCCATCTGAGAAAGGATTGTGGCGTTCTGCGCCTCCAAAGCCACAATCCGCTCATCTTTGTTCTTCAGCTCCTCAAGAATCAACGGATCAACAGACGGGACTTGTGAAGAAGAAGAAGCCGAAATTGAATCAGCCCGACGGGCCAACCCAACTAAATGGCCTTTCTTTTTAGGAACCGCCTACAAAATATTCAATGTTATTAAAATATAAAATATAAATTAAGTAATGAAAAAAAGAAATTACCTTTTTGACCATCTCGTTTATTTGCAGCCGAGACAAGGTGGTCGAAGCTCCCGTAGAATCGATTTCATCGGTGAGAGGCTGAGAAGCTAGAAAAGCTTCTTTTTGAGATTCCACCATCTCAATGACCTCTCTGATGACAGGATCCTGAATTTCACCCGTCTTCTGGTTCGTGTACGACGCCTTCATGACGACAAGATGATCAACGGGATTACCGTTGTTTGTTTCAACCTTAAAACAACATTAGCCAAAGAATATATAAAAATATATATTGAAATAAATATAGAAATAAATAAATATAAAAAAAATGAAACTTACAAGTTGGTCCTCCTTAGTGGACATAGAGCAAGCGCCGAGGTTGTGCACATAAACACCTTTGCCACCACGATTGCTTAACCGGTTGGCTGAATTCTTAACTGACGTATCTATAGTCTCTTCCTTCTGCCAATGGACCACCAACTGATCCCACACCGTCCCGTTTATATACTTTGACCGCGTGTCCTTCAGCCATAACTGCTTCCACTCGTAGATCTGCTTCC